AGAAACATCATCATTGTAATTTGCATCAAACTCATTTTGTAAAAAAAATTTGAACGAAAAAATATGAAATGAAATGTTTCATTTTTATTTAATTAATTTAGATATTACATGCTTATTAAACAATGGATCCAAAATATTTGAATATCCGATTATCCAGTTATCCATTCATAGTTGGTAATAATCGATTAAATGACTAACTAACCGGTCAATATTTTTGTCTAATCGATCATCGTAATCAGTTGGTCAAATCTGGATGATTTGACTACAGATTGAATGATTCGGATCTCTAGTAGTAACTAATACAAATAAAAAGAAGACTATAGGTAAACATGGATTTGTTTGTAGCCAAGCTATACCCATTCTTATAGAAGAAGTGTCTAAGCTCATAAGGAAACTGTCTGTATAAAATTCTAAATGTATGGTAGCAGAAAATTGTTACGAAAGAGTTAATAAGGTATTATTATGTGGTAACATAATAAACTTTAATATTAATATAGAAGGTGCAGGGTAGCAAAAATCAATCAGGAGTAACTGGGAAAAACTATTATAAGAATGGTTAAATGTAAGATATAATATCCTTTATAAGTATTGATGATCATGTGCTGATGTGTTGCTTTCAGGTATCCTTGAGTATTATTTTCACACAGAGGCTGAGTAACGTAATCATTATGCAATTATATTTCTTAAGATCAGAAGGGTTACTCTTAAATAATATGGGCCTGTTGAGTGAATACCTGTCACATTGATGCAAAATTATCTCAGTGAAGTGAGAATATATATAATAGACGACATTCGCAAAACTGCTTGCTATCTTTAAAACACAATCTACAGAGGGTGGACAAAAATTTCTGGACACTTTTTCACCAAATAAAAAACTTATATTCTTTAGTATTAATAGTAAAAATTCTAATATTATTTTATTTAGAGCTGGTTAAGGTATACATTTATATTAAACTTTAGTACTTAGTTGGGCCTCTCTTTACTGTAATCACAGCCTGAATTTGCTGTGGTATGCTATTGATTAAATTTTTAATAGTATGCATTGGAATTTCTTGCTATGCCTTTTTAACATAGCAGTTGAGGTCAGCAAGATTCAATAGTGGTTTTTTTATATGCATGAATGTTTTTTTTAATATCAATCCATAAATTTTCAATTGGGTTAAGATCAGAACATTAGGCTGGTCAAGTAAAATATGACTCTGTGTTGTTCTTTGGTTAATTCTTTATTTTGTCCATTATTTTTTGATTTGGTAGAGATTAAGGAATTAAGTAAAAACAACAAAAATAACACAAATTTTTTTATTTTGATTATATAAATAAATAATAAACAGTCATATAATCGCAGTATAGTATTACAATTACAGTCAAATTTATTAGTACTGGTGTAAGTTAATTTTAACCGGTTAATGAATATTTTTAACTGGTTATTAACCGGTTAAAGAATTTTGGCCTCTATTTGACAAAAAAGGTTAATATGGTTTCCTCTAAAAGAAATCTGATTATAGTGATTAGCAAAAAATAATGGAATAATTAGTACAATATAATCTGTTATTATTGTTGATAATAAAGATAAGTTCAAAATATATATTTTTTTGTTTTAATTAATGTATTAACATTTTAGTTGTTCAATTAATCGATTAATCAACGATAATTTGAATAATAATCGATTATAAATTTTATGAATGATTGATTAATCGAATACAAAATTTTTGACCGATTCGGACCTCTAGTTACTACATTCCTCTCATTATCAGTAGTGAAGCTAGAAGCAATTTTTATTGCTATCCTTATAACCTCACAGAATTATCATATTACCATCATGACAAATTCACAAGTTATAATTAAGCAATTTTACAATTTCAAAAGAATTTTGTGTCTTTTTCCGACCATCAGACCCCTATTTAAGATTAATAATTTTTTAATATAACTAAGCCTTTTCAAGATTATTAAATCATAGTATCTCAATATATGCCTCTATAAAGTCAAAGTATATTCAGAAGATACATTAAATAACAAAGTTGATCAACTTGCAAAAAACTCTTACAATATAGCAGCACTTAGGTTTGATTTCTCTTATTGCGATCATAACTATTACAAATATGATAATTTAAAGATCTCAATACTCATATATTTCTTTATGAAAAATATTACACAATCCTTAATATATGATAAAATACAATACCTTTACGTAATTAAAATATATCAGCACTTGAACATTAACTAGAACATCATATGTTTTTACATTAATGATAATTTGTGATACACACATCTTATGAAGCCTTAGCAATTCACAAGAAAAAACTCCAAAGACTCCTAGAAATGCTTTCTATCATGAAAATTTTAAAAGAAAAACACCCTGACATCTTTAATTCATCATAGCTTTGTGTCAAATGTGAATGTGCAAATGAAACCTTCTTCCACGTTTGGGAATATCTGATTACTTAAACTTAAATGAAAAATATCATACAAGACTCATAATAAGTCTTACAAAAATTAATTCAGAACAATGGTTCAACTATAAACATTTCCAATTTACACATATGGTATATGTCTACCAAATACTTCCTTTACCTATTCACTTTCATTAAAGGAATAATCCCTCAAACACTGTACAATTTTATTTATAATGACATAGGATCAAAGGACCTTACTTATATGACGCTTTTAACCTTTATGCATTATCTTTTTAAATAAACGTAGGTAATATAAGCTGAATAGTATTTATAACAAGCTGCATTTGAAAAATTCTATAATATTAACTTAAGAATAAAGAAAGATAATACCACTGTAACAGGATATAACATCATAAGCTTCACTCCTTCTGCAAACATCAATGAATTAATCAACAAAATGGTCTAATATAGATCCCATTGGTTGGATTTTTAGTGTTATAGTGGCTAAGCCCTTTCTTATTCAGTTAGTTACTGAAATATAATATTTTAGCTTAGTTTAGAAATAGATTCTGAAAAAGTGTAGGGTCAGTCTTAAATTAGTTTAGATTAAATAGATATTTTTGTATTTTCTAAAATTTGTATAATTTAACTTTATTATTTGTATTTTGAATTTAATAAAGATCATGCGAAACTACCACACTTTAAAAATAAAAAAAAAATATTTTTTAAATGATAAAAAACTCTTTTTGCAACATGGGTAAACCAAAGAAAGAGAACAATAAAAACTAATAAAAACAACAACCTCACTCTCGTCCTGATACTCCAAAGTAACAATTAAGTAAAAAACAGAATACTTTACAAACTACTGAACCTGAAAGTAGTGTCTTTACCAACAACAATAATAAAGAAACTCTAGTTATTATAGATGTTAACCCTCTTCTGCTCAACAAAGGAAAGGGCAAAGAAGTTTTGACAAGTAAAATAACTCCAGTTGTCACTCCTGACCAAGCACTCATGAACGTCAATGATGCTAACGACATTCAGAAAATTTTTTGAACAAAAAAGTTCTCAAGAAATTTTCATCGAAAAAATGAACTTTTTTTCGCATTTTTTCCAGCTGACAACTACTTTAGAAAATCCTCTTAAACAAAAATTTCTGATATTACTGATCTTATTTTCAATCAGTTTGACTCTTTTTTAGATGTTGTGTTTACCAAATACCTAGAGAACTAATCAAAAAAAATCTTAAAAGTGATATTTTCTAATAAAGATAAAAAGGATACGTTTTGTAAAGTTAATTTGTCTAATTTGGATAATTACATGTTTTACCCTTTAAAATTATACCAAGACATCTATTTATTTCACAATAATCAATCAAAGTTACTAAAATACCATTAGACGTCACAGAATTGTGAATTAAAAAGATTTCTTCTGATTTAGTAAGATCATTAAATTCAATATGAAAATAAAAACCTCTGACAACAAGCTACAATCACATACAATTAAGACGCTAACTTTGTTAAACTAAAGAAAGGTTACAGTGTTTTTCTCCTCAATGACATAGTTCATTTTTATATGTGTGACATACCACGTGATAAAATCTTAGAATGATCTAAATTCTCAGCTAAACTTATATGTCTTTTTCATTATACTACAGGTAAAGACTTATCCAACTTGAATTTAATGGTTAATGTAACAGCTTGGATTATCTCTAAAGCCAGATCTAATTATCATAATTTATAATATGTATTCTTCTATTTTCTTTTAGCTGATAATTACGAAGCAGTGATCAGCAATAATAATCTTACTATTAATGGTAAATACGTAGAATGGACTGAAGCTAAAGTCAGATTATGTGCTATTTGCTTTTCATCACATCACAAAATCAAAGATTGTCCAAAAAAATGTTACACCCTTAAGATAGAAGCACCCAACACTTATACCAAAGATTTCAACCTGCATAATACAACAACTATTTCTATTCGTTTCATAGTAGAACCTAAGATAACTGTGAGATTATCAAGTTTTTGGATAAGTTGTAAGAAACTTGCTTTGATAAGGTCTTTAAAATTATTATAAGTATCTTTCTCATGTATAGAGCTTCTTGTTTTTATTTCTACAGAGATGTCACGTAATTTGTATTGTTATTATTAAGGTTGATTGATTTATTGTTTTAAAGGTCAGCTTTCCTGACGAAGAAATAATGGCTGACTACAACATAGAATAATATGGAAATAGTCTGATGATTGATGCTTCCACTTCAATTATTAGTAAACAAAAATAAATAATTACAGATTTTATTGAAATCACAGATACACAAAAACTATGTCTCAAGAATTTCATCAAAACGATCAATACTTTAGTCAGCACTTTCAATACATTCTGTACAGTTCTTATTTATAATGACTTACTTCAAATAGACAAAATACCAACATCATATACTCTTAATACTAACTATGATATGGAAGCAGAAAAGGCTCTAAAGGATTTTTCCCAATTTTAAAAAATTTTTGTTATGATTACTATTCCTATAGATATTAACAAAAATTCTTTCTCACCAAATAATAAATCCAATACAACCTCTATTAATATACCAAAATTTTCCTTCACAACCCATAATGTTCAGTCCTTCACTAATATTACCAAATAATATCACCTTTTATTATTATATTCTTTGTACAATTTAGATATTATTGGTCTTCAAGAAACTAATTTCAAATTGCAATATGAAAAATCTTTAATCTGTCACATCTTTCCTTCATATCATTCTTTAGTTTAACCTTAAAATAACAAACCGCATTCAGTATGAAAATAATATTCAACAAAAAAATTGTTCATTACATTTACAAATATAACACTAAATTTGATCGAGTCATCTATATTGATTTACAATTTGCAAATAAACAAAATCTTTGTATTATAAAATTGCTACTTACCGCTAGCTAACTTTAAAATGAGAAAAGAAATCTAACTGATTCTTAACAAATAGATCAAAGAAGCCACTATTAATGATTTTTACTTGATCATTTTAGAAGACTTCAATACAGATATGGATTGAATACACAATTTCACAAACAGCCTAAAACTCTTTGATGATTTTATAGATTATCACTTTTTGATGCTTTCATAATCAAACACGATTGAAATAGAATTAACTTTTTTACTTACTTTTTAAGCTAAGTCTCTTTTAGGATAGATTACATATAGACCTCTACCGATATCTCTCTTAACATTTTAGATTATTATACAGTTACATCTGAAACAAATATATTAGATCATCATGTAACCATCACTATAATCATGAATTTCTTAGACATTAAATTTAACAAATGCAAAATATTCACTAAAATTAGTTTCAATTTTGATAAAATGAATGATGACCTATGGAGTAAATTCAGAAATAAATTCAATGCGCTATTAAATGAAAGTTCAACTAAACAATCAATCAGAAAACGTATTAGATGCATTCTTTGCTCAACAAATGCTGAGACCTCTTTCAAGATCTTTTGATTAAAGCAGCTGAAAAATATATACCACTCAGAAAATCATCAGGACAATTCAAGTATCTAAGGCTACTAAGCCTCACAAAATTATATTCACATCAGAAAACTTTACACAAATTTAAAAAGTTACTTCTCAAAGTCAAACAAGATGAATCGTTTCCTGTAAATCAGGGTTGGTCTGGCTATGAGTTTATTGAATCTCAATAACTAATAACTAATAATAATATAAGCCAGTGATAGTTTATTTAGTTATTAGCTATTGAGATGTAAACTGGTTACTTGTTCCAATAAACATAATAAATTTTAATTTGACTAATCATTTATTGAAGTTTATTGGAGTTTATTATCTAATATCATTTAAAAAATTGATTATCGATCAAGATGTAATACTAATGTAACCAAAATAAATTTTTTTTTAGAAAAAAAAAAGTTTTTTTTTTTGTTAATTGCTTTTTTTTCGTTTGTAAAATTCAAAAGGAAAAAAAAAAGTTTGCCTAACTTTCTTTCATGTATTATTAAAAGAAAAAAACTAGTATATAGAGAATTATTATCCTTCTTAAATACTAATTTTCAAAAAGTTTTTTTTGTATTTTTTTTTTTATGTAAAAAAATAATATAGCATTGCAGAATTAATTTAGTATTTGTATTCAAATTTTATAATTAATATTATCAATTGGATTACCCTTTTTACTTTTATACTTTTGTTTTAATCAAAACTTTTGATAATATCACTACATAGTGATAAACCACTACATAAATGGATTGGTTACTTCTGTATTTCAAATGAAAAATGGAATAAAATTTATAAGACTGCTAAATGTTTAGCTTGTATTAATGCTAATGATCCATCATTGATAGTTGAATAAATAAATAATAAGAGAGAAAAATGTCAAAACTATTCAAAAGATTGTTCATAATTTAAGGCTCAATTTAATGAAGAAGAATAGGCTTCTATATATGCTAGTATTTTTCAGGAATAAGAAGATAATCATCAAAAACAGTTAAAAAAAGTATATAGTACAATTGCATTCAATGGTTAGAAGAATGTAGTTAAGCAATCAATTCTTGGTACTGTAATAATTACATCATCAAGACGTAGTATTGTGTGAAAAGTAAAGGATATTTTTGCTAACGATCAAGATCTGAAGAAGCTATTAATCAAATAAAAATCTGGTTAGATGAAAATAAAAAAAAAGAATTAAAAATTATTGTGTAGTTACAGATTCTGCTGATACATATACTGCAATTAGATCATATTTATGTCAAAAATATCATGAATTATTATTTTTACCTTATTTTACATATTAAATTAATCTAATTATAAGTGAAATATTCAAAGAATCTTCAAATTATCATAAAGTATCAACTAAAGCAATAGAATTAATTTCTTTTTTTAATACTTCATCTTATTTTTTGGAAAAACTTCATAAAGAATAAAAATTAATTTATGATAAAGTAATTGCTTTACAATATTCATATGTAATAAGATAGAATAGCTATTATATATATTTTAATAGTTTAGTTAAAACTGAATTTGCACTTAAGATTTTTGTTACTAAATATAAAAATTTATCAACCTGAAATAAACCTTTAAAAGCTTCTATTTGTAATATAATTAAGGATGATGAATTTTGGTCTAATTTGACAATTCTTAGAGATCATTTAATTTCTTTATGTAATGTACTTAATAAACTTCAATGAGATATACAAAATTATACAAAGTTTTATATTGCTTTAGATATTTTTATAAGCTATATAATTGTCACGATAATGTAGAATTTTCAAGAAAAATGATTGATCATTGAAAAAACATTAGGTACAATAGGAGTAATCTTTATTATTACTTTCTTTTTGGCTTTATCCAATTTATCACAAAACTAATATTAATCAAAATATTTATTCAAAGTTTCACGCTATATTACAGTCAGAAATTTTACCAAAAATGGATATTGATTCTAGAATGATCTGCAGTAAATCCTTGAATTTTGTTGGTCCATATCTATTCTCTTCAACTGAAATTTGTGACTTTTCACAATGTCGATCCACAACTAATAATTATATATACAGAGAGTAACAAACCTCTAATTTCATAATCATTCAAGATCTGTTCATAATCAGCTTTCTTTAAAAAAGTAAATGAGACCTGAATTTTTGTTAAATTTATGTTAAATTGATTTAATTAAGTTAATATATTATTTTTTTTTCTTTTAAAATTTTAGCATACCAGAATCCAAAAAAAATAATGTCACAGCCTTTACTACTTAGAAAGAAACCAAGAGCCAAAGATTTCCCCTGCATATTCTTCAATTTAGTTAGTAATTATAGTAGATTGGGCTTAAAATCTTGTGAGATGAAAGAGTTACAAATTTGGAGACATGCTAGTAGCAAAGAATCAGCTAAGCAACTTATACTTTATCAAGATTTATATCTGAACTCGCGAATCTTCATTTTTCTTTAAACTCTTATTCGATTTGTGAAAAACATTATAATCAAATTATAGCTACTAGACACTTTTATCAACAGCTTTTAGATGACCT